CGAATTTTTTAATTATCTTATTAAATTSTACRACACCTCTAGAATRTTGTCCTAAATTCACCAGTTRATTCGAATAATAGTTTCGGACATACAGACTTGAGAACTTGCGCGATCATTTGCTCGAAACTGTGTTTTTGAAGTCAGTTTGCAAGATTTCAGGAAAACTACAAAACCGATCTTCATGAAATTTTACACTGGTCTTTGAGATACAATTCTTTTTTACTGAAATTTTCAGTTTCTTGTAAAAATCCTATTTTTAGTTTTTTTTTCCTTCGTCCAAGTTCTSAGTTAAGGTTTTACTTAAAACATGTATTTTGTTCTTCTTAGATGATTCTGTAAAGAGTTATCATGCCAACGCGGGCGCATCTTTTCTCCGAGCGGCCACCGAAAAACGCATTGCATTGACCGATAAAAAATTTTTTTTTTTCAAAAATTTCAGTATTTCTTTGTTAATAGTGTATGTTTGTAACAGTAAAAAATTTTAATAATATATTTAAATTTTTAAACGAGAAAACCGTTATTAGATTCGTGTGAAATTTGATCTCCATATGTCAATTAGTTTATAGTATGTTTGACAGCGAAGAGTTTCTCTAAGGTAAAAGAGCTTGCAAATAGTTCTGTTCTGTTCAATTTAGTTAATGTTTTGKKTATGAAGMATCTGTATATTARAATCGTRCAAAAAGAAATGAATCTTTYACAAAAACGACTTTTATATTAGTCCAGTTCAAATTTGAYCRGATGRTATATRSACGAAGTTAAAGCATTGATGGCTAAAAAATGTGATTCACGAATTACTAAAAAATAAACAAAAAATACACTGTCTGGAGCGGGAAAATACTTGAAGTTTGAGAAAAGTTATTGCATGGTTTCTTTGTATTTAATACGCATTATTCATAAGTTGTTTCTTTGAAAAAGGTTGGAACCATTGCTTCCATCAATGGTGATCTTTAAAGTGAAAAKATTTCCAAAATTTTAACTCTCCACATAAGTATCAATTGAATAAAGACTCAATAATTGCAACTGGATGGTGAAAGTCATACGTGAAAATATCACGTTATTGGTTTCAACGAGGTTTATTAAACTTTGTTTATTCCGTGGCTCGTTCAGGTTATTTGACACATTTTGTTCACGTTTTTGTGAGCCTCAACAAACAACACATATTGGTCATCAATACCCTGTGAGTTATTATTGTAATAAGGCTTGGTTTCAGAAAAAGTTATAGTCAGTGAGACCAACAGTATTGCCTTCATAAGACGCATGAGCGGTCAAACACTGTTTGTCTTAAAATTTTTTAGCTAATTAATCTTAAATAGTAGTTATTTCCTTATTTTATATATATATGATATATATTATCTACTTCTAAAATTTTATTAAATTTTTTTTTTTTAAACTCTCTTTAGGACCACCCCAATATATCTACAACTGTGTATATACACATATGCTCATACAAAAAGACCAACGATTGCTCCATGCAAATCTAAACAACATGCAATTAAACCCAACTATGTATTTTTACTATTTTTTTCTCAAATATTTTAGCAACATAAATTTGAGATAAATTTCGCAAAATTTCATAAATTATTAATTTWATTATTATTTTGATTAATTTGCTATTTTTTTATATGAAAACCAAAAATTGCAGCGGAGGACGGGCTATTGTTTGGAYCATTTGGAAAAAACATAAATTTTTCGACTAAGTATTAGTTGGCATACCAACAATTAGCTGATGGATGATAACCGCAGGATAGTAATGTGCGAGAATACCTTAGGCGATCACTCTGCGTCAAGTGGCATTAATGCGCTGACATTTGCATTGCTGCAACATGTTCAATGCTACAGTGGCGTGCAGTGRACTATGCGCGATAGCCAACCCAGTGGCATCGCGTAACAACAAATGGTATAAAATTGAATGCAATTGAAAAAAAAAGTAATTACAACAACAATATTATAATTCAGTTATATAGTCGCATACAAAAAATATACAGACGCATGGCAAACGAGCGACTAAGCGAGCGTTGATTAAAGCTAATTACGGCAAATGCCTGCCATTTGCATCGTCGCKTACTCTGCGACACACCGCTTGCATCCACTGCGCGGCGCTTTACCTCAATCTAGAACTTCGTTGGACGCAAGCGCGTTGCACTTGTCATTGTTTAGTACGTGCGTGCATAAATAGTCGCACATTTACTCAAATCTACAAACAAACATACATCTATGTATGTGTGTATGYGTGTGCGCGTGCGTAATTAAGTGTTGCAAGCGCTTCAGTTGGCGTTTGCTGACAAATCAGCTGAACGATTTAGTTGCAGATACTCGCTTTTATACYGTGCGTTTGGCGTATGCTGTCACGCAAGCGCCGCCGCCGCACGCTCCCATTCACAGAAAATACAGAAAATGCGGTTTTGTCTGCGTTACAATTTRCTGGCTGCTTTTCATTTGTATTTGCTGTTTGCTGCACTTGCAACATGATTCTTTTTGCAAAACAAAAACAGCAAAAAAGAAAAAAATTATGTGCCGAGTTTTATTTTTTCATTCGCAGTTAATTGTCTGTCTTAATTTTTGCTTTTATGCCTAGCTGGTTTGACAACTCTGAAAAGTAAATGCCAATGCCTTAGAAATATGTGGCTTAGGCCTAAATATGAGTTCATTACTAGTTTATTMAAAGTGTGCTAAAACGTCGCTGCACAGTGGTCAGGTGTGCTGGGACTTACAGTAAAAAATATTTTTGACCAAATATGTGTAATTTGACAATAAACTAATACTGAAAAAAGCTTTACCAAATATTTCAACATTTCGAAAAATTTTASATTATGGGTTAGGAATTTTTTCGAAAAGAAAGATAACCTCTGTGACACCTAAAACAAACATCTGAAGAGATATTTTGTGASAATATAAAACTATCAGAAAGTGGACCGAATAAAATCTTGTATAAAGTTAGAAAGTTGGTTAGAAGCTGTAAGGCCTCGACGTAGAATATATATACTCCGACACTCATCAATCTCAACATTTACTTCTTGAATATTCGCTTTGAACAGATCAAGACTACATCACCTTGGATTTTATGCATTTAAATTTAAGGTGAAGTAACGGAGTTTTAATCAGGGTTCACAAAGAAGTGTATACAAAAATTTTGTTTACGTGAGTCCTCGTTACCATCTTAGAAATTTAGCCATCTAGCCTAAAATGAAAGTTCTCTGAGCGCCATTTACTTGAGAGTGGCCAGAAAAGATGTTTTTGCA